GGTCATGAGTCCACGCCTCTTCAAGGGTTAGGGTTTATGGGTTGGGGCTTAAGGGTTTAGGGGTTAGGGTTGATAGGTTTAGGAACTAAGGGTTTAGGCACTTTAGGGTTTAGGGTACTGCCCCACAATGTAACATTTGGATTATATATATATATATATCCTACTTATACATAGCCCTTACTTTCATCCGGTTATAGACTATTGCTGGGTGGGGGTCGCCCCCCATAACTTAAGGTCGAAAACCCAACCTTAAACCCTAAATCTCAGAAGCCTCTGTAAACCTTACACCCTAAACGGATCTGTTTCAGAGTTGCAGCTTCTTACAGGGCCTAACCAGGGAAGGCAACTGAATGACATACTTCAGATTGTAAATACTTTTCTGGTATTAGTACGCGTTTGCGGACTGTGTATGGGGGCGGGGCTCTTCCATGGCACAAGAAAGTGTCGCATGCTCGACCTAAGGTGCACCACGCAGTGAGCCCATCCGTTTGCAGGTGTTCATATACACACCACCATTTGGAGGGGCGTGTCACTGAAAAAAAGTAGCCGTAACTAACTTGTAGCCGTTACCCAGTTGCAGCCCCCGAGTGCAGAACCTTTGTTATATGTAGGAGATAGCCAGGATAGCTACTAAGAAGGCTGCAGGTAACACGCCCTTCCGACTACGTGAGAGCGCTAGTGCAAAAAACATGGAGGGGAAACTTCTGCTTGCTATCCTGAGGTCCAGCTACAAAGATAATAAGGTGATTAGGTAATCATAGTAATAGTAATAGTAAGAATAAGAACAATAGTAAGAGTAACAATGATGGTAGTACTAGCGATAGTAGTAACAATAGTAATAATATTAGGAATGGTAGTAGCCAGGGTCCGATTGGTTTGCATTGCTCAGACTCCCCCCAAAATGTTTTCTGTACTTGGACCTTTGGGATACGAAGGGTTCCCGGCGATATGAGTTTCATACATCCTCGAGATACGAGCCGCCGTTCATAATGCATGTCGACCTACCCAAGGAAATAACAAGGTACCTGCCAACCCGAAACCCTATTCCGCATCTTGTCTCTTGTGAAGGGTGGTCAAAGAGTGACAAGTTGCCATGGCGGTGCGCCTCACCAAAACCTGGACCCCGCAATTCTGTCCTTCTTTTCGGGGTTTGAATAGTCCTATGTCTTATATGTCTGATATGTAATTTCGAGCGCATGCTCCCAAAAGAGTATTTTGCAGTATCTGACTTCTCGCCTTTATGGGTTCTATGAAGTTCTACGTCTGCAAAGGCAGCGTGTTTTTGTCATTTTTGTTGGAAAGTCCTCAAGTGAATTTTGCAGATACGGCCCGCAGCCCAATCACGAAATCCAGCACGCACAAATGTCATGTTTCCCTCCGAAAAGCCCAGTCCTATTACACCATAACCCTAAGGACTTGTTAACAAAAACATTGAAAAAGCGGCAGGTAGCCCTAAGGCTTTCAGATGAGTTTAGGGTCCACGTGCCCAAATAATGGGCTTCATGTCCCAAATGCTATAGTCTGATTTGTTTTCGGTAACGAGAGACCTAGTATTTTGGTATGTGGACCCTTATTTTGAGGGCCCAAGCTGGATTATCAGATAGTCCCCGAAACCTAAGCTACGATTTCGAGTACAACAATCCCAAAGTATATGTGTTCTGAGAACTGATCCTCTTTTTTATGGATAACTTATGTATATATATATATTAACCCACATTCCATGTCATTTTCCATTTGGCTCTCCGTTACTGAGGTAATATCTCTATAGTCTGGCACTAAACAACCTACCCTAATCCCTACGCCCCAAAACCCCAATCCCACTCGCTAAGCCCTATTCCCTAAACCCGCATCCTAATCCCTAAGCCCTAAACCTTCGTCCCTAAACCCGAGCCCCTAAAGCCTACCTGAGCCCTAAACCCCATTCTCTAAATCTTAAACTGGGCCCTTAGCGTTAAGGTACTAGAGGGATTAGGATTTAGGGTGTAGAGGTTTGGGTTAAGGGATTATGGCTTAGGGTTTAAAGGTTAGTTCGAGTTTAGATGTTAGGGTTTAGGGTAATACCTACATCCTGCGCCCCACCCTGAACCCGAGAGTCAATTACCCTAAGCCCTGCGAACCCCGCACCCCAAATTCCGTAATCCTTGCAGTACCCCACTAGCCCTTAAGCTCTAAACCCTGAACCCTAGACCTAAACCCTAAACCCTAAACCCAAACCCTCATAGACCCCATAAACCCTACAAGGCTGTCAACCCAACGTGCGGCTCAAATGGGAGGGATAGAGGCCCTATAGCGGCCAACAGCCCGCGGGCACCATGCGACTCTTCGTGCGCACGGTGGCCGGCAGCACTGCGATCCTTGGCCCAGGGGCACGATTCGGGGTTGAGGGTTGAGGGTTCTGGGTTTTTAATTTAGATTTGGGATTTATGGTTTGGGATTTAGGGTTGAGGGTTTATTGTCTAGAATTGTCTAGGATTTTAAAGTAGGAGTTTTGCTTTTCAATGTTGCTCTTCGAGAAGTTGATGAACTCGAGCTCTGCTACTCTCACCCGTGACCCAATTGCATTGGGTTTAGGACCTCCCAAAAGCCTCTAAACCCTGAATCCTAAACCCTAAACCATGAATCCTAAACTCTAAACCCTAAATGCAAAACCATAATTCCCTACTAACACCAACTTGGGGCTGTCATGTGTGCTTTGAGGAATTTCGAGTAACAGTCCGTAAGTACTCAAGACACGGTTTAGGGTTTGGGGTTTAGGGTTTAGGGCTTACTTGGGGGTTTCGTAGGGAATAAGGGAATGTATTGTATTTATATCAATATCGGGTTTAGCGCGTAAGTACCTGGGGATTATATTATAGTGATTATATTTCTCTAGTTTCCTACTAATCGCCAGTAAGTAGAACCATTCACATGCACACTAGCCGCCGGATAGGAAATGGACTTCGGATAGAACGAGAAAAAGAGAAAGTATGGCTCAGGTGGCCATGTCTAAAAAGACTTACTGGTGCGTTACGGGGGAGTGGGGGAGCATCCCTACAACTGATCACGTGTCATCGGAATGTACACAAATTAAACTACTTGGAGACCCATGGGACTTGGTAACTACTTATAACTGGGCTTATAATCCTACTTATAATCCCTCTAAATGGGCTTCTCGGGGTTACCCCAATTCTAAATAGGGCTATGATCCCAGTTATAAGTAGTTACTAAGTGTGCCATGGGCCTCCAAGTAGTACCTAGATTCACTCCTAGCGCGAGTGAATCGAGGTCCCTCCAGGAGCCCTCCCCCAACACAAAATGGGTTTAGGGTTTAGGGTTTAGGTGTAGTCAATCCCTAAACCCTATTTCCTTACACCTTAGCCTTCAGATACCTGTATCCTTCAACGGCTGCAACCCCCTAATCCTAAATCGTGTCCTAAGAAAGAAGCCCGTAATTTCCCCTGTGGACCCTGAAGCCTAATGCAGCATAAATTGTTCAATTCCCCCTCTAGATTCTGTAGTTCACATCATATTTTCCCTAAAGCTTCCTGAAGCTCCCAGGGAAGCTTCCAGACCCCGTTCTACACCCCACCTTATTACCCGTCCTGATCCAGGTACCTCAGTAGTACCCTTTTTTCTTTTTGTTGTGGGGTCTCTTTTTTTCTGCTGGATATTAGGAAAAGAGTACCGGTATTGTTGAGGGGTTTGAAAGCAACGCTTGAATTTACCACCCTAAAGCCCCGAAGCCTAAATCCTAGTCCTGAACGCTAAACTCCCCAACTAAGGGTGCTCGAGATTGATGGTCAGGCTGGTGCCTGAGATCAGGGCTGAGGGCTTTCGGGCTTGTGAGGCTTCAGGGCTTTGATGTTTAGAAGTTTAGGGTTCAAGATTGCGGGAAGTCATTCTAATATGCATCCTTCTATTGGGGGTGGTGTCCTATTACAAGGCGGGTCTCTTGTCTAATTCCTGCGATTTCAGGAACAGTAACTTCGGCCAACACCCATTTCGCGGGGCTTGGAATGGGACTGTGGAGCTTCTCTTGCTGCTTAACTTATCCTTGCGACTTAGCTTGGACCTTAGACCCTTAACCCTTTGGGATTCCCTTATACTCCTATTATACGTACCTATAGGGACTAACCCTTAGTAGGGGTCCTAAGCGCCACGTAGAAGTATGGTGGGCAGAAGCAAGTTCCATGTAATCCATACTTATTCTGCAGCGCGCAGCATGCTGTACAATGTCAGCTAGAATCTAAACTCCTTGAAGGGGGTTACATATGTAGCAGTATATATACGGGAGTTCTATAGGGGTTATTAAGGGGGATAGTAGGGGTTTAGACTATAGCTCACGTGAGGTAGTGTTTGAATATGGCTTTGGTGAGTGGGCACCGGGTTTCCAGGGAACGTGAAAGCCTGCTAAGTGCTGCTAAGCTTGGAGGGTCAGGGGGGGCTTCATCAGTAGCTTAGTTAAGTAACTAGGGCTGTTAGATGACTTGTAGGGCTTATAAGCGCTCATACCAATCAAGTCCACCCAATACCCTAAACTCTAAACCCTCAGTAATACGTAGTAGTTTTCATTTTCGTGTCCATTTCTCACTACGTCCCCTTGACACACCGAGCGCTGTGTCCTTTAGGGAAAACCATGACGTGTAAGTCCCGCCTCATGCTATATTGTGCGTACATTTAGGGTTTACGGTTTGGGGTTTTGGCGTGGATTGTAAGTCTGCGACTTAGCGAATGCAAAGAAAAGGGGTCAGAAGCTTACGTAGGGAATCTCATGGGAAAGTAGAAGCTAAGCCCCAGTTCAATCCAGTTGCTACGTATCGAACCCTAAACCCTAAACCCCTGCAGTTTAAAACCCTGACCCCTAAGAAAAGCACCTCAGTCCCTACACACCCAACCTGAAATCAAGAACCCCAAGCCCTAAATCCACATCCCTCAGTCTTGCATTTAACTCCCTGGATTCCAAAACCTAAGCCCTGCACCTTAGACCCAAAAATTATCACCCAGATTCCTGAATCCTCAAACCCTTTAAAACCCTAAACCCCGTAAACCCTGACCACGAGACGCTGAGCCTCTAAACCCTGAAGCCCTAAACCCAAAGCTCCCCTAAACTTGAAGCGCCGCACCTCCGACTTAGTATCAGGCTGCAGGATGCTACATTCAAGTAATCCCTTCATACTACTTTAAAGGTTACGGTTTAGGGTTTAGGGTTTAGGGCTGTGGGTTTATGGTTTAGGGTCAAGTTTAGGGTTTAGGTTCTTTCAGGGTTTAGGAGCCTCAACCTCTACTACAGGTTCCTTTGTAAGGTTTATAAGGGATAGGGCTTAGGGTTTGGGATGTTAAGCACCCGCCGCCCCTGACATTAAAGTTACCCTAAGAAGATGGAGGACATATTTGATACTAGGGAAGGCGGTTGTTGAACCAAAGCCCTAAGCCCTAAACGGGATTACATTCTTCCAAACACGGGAAGCCACCCTGGAACTTGATTTCGGTTTTGGGGTGAAGGGCTGAGGATGTTTAGGGTTTGGGGTTCGGGGTTTAGGGTTTAAGGGCTTGCGGTGCACTATAGAGGGCTCACAGCGTAAGATCTAGGTTTCAGGGCTTAGGATTTTATGATTCATGGTGCGCATTCCTGTCTAAATCCTAGTTACAGTAATCCCCAAACCTTAACCTAAACCCAAACCCTGAACCCCAAGCCCTAAACCCGTAAGCCCTGAACCCTACGCCCTAAACCCCAAACCCAATACCCCAAAACCCTAAACCCAAAACCCTATACCCTAACACCCTAACACCCTAACACCCTAACACCCTAAACTGTAGTTTCCATTTTCTTTTCCATTATCATATAACCCGGAGCATCCCAGAGTCCTGTGCAAGGCAAATGTCTCCGCTGTGAAGGAGCAGATTGCTGCCTCCGAGGACTGCGTAGTTTTAGAGTTTAGGGGTGTAGGGCTTTGGGGGTTTAGGTGTTTAGGGGTCTAGGGTTCAGGGTTTAGGGGTTGGAGTTTAGGGTTTAGGGGGTTAGGGGTTTGGGGCTTTAGGGGTTTAGGGTTAAGGGGTTTAGGGGTGTAGGGTTTGGGGGTTTCAGGGTGTAGGGTTCAGGGTGTAAGCCTTTGGGTGTGGGGTTCAGGATTTTGGATTCATGGTCTATTGCCTTCAAGATGTCAGGCTCGTACCGGCTTTCTTTTTTTTTAGTTTTAGGTGCTCTGTCTCCCCGTTGAGGGCGAGCTTTAGCGGCTAATGTTAACTGTTCGCATTGAGCCCCTAGTGATGTCATGGGTCCTAGTAAGGTACTGATCCTTGCAAGTCCCATATAATCAGATATGGAAGTTGTAGCTTGCAGTGCAAAGACAAGTACAGCAACTACTGATGCTACTTGGAAACTTGCATAGCCACCTGCACCTGCAGATTCGTGGCATTCTGGTATCAACAGTTTGGTTCTGGGCTTGGAGTGTTGGCTCAAGGCTCTGGAGTTCTGTGGCAAGGGGTCAATGACGCAACTGTGACGGCATTTCTGTTGAGAGGCATAGTTGCCTCCTAGCAGTCCTAGCACCAGCGGTGTCTTATCCAAGCTTTGCGCGGCCTAGTAACTCATTTTGTTGTGCACCCCACCTGGAGATTCATGGAGCTCGATCCAGTTATTATAGGGATCCACTCCTCCCAATCGCCCTTGAGCACCGGTAAGCAGATGGCAGTTCCTAAAAGTCACAGACACAGGGCTCATGTGAGGGTTTTGGGTTGATGGGGTTGGGGACTAGGGTCAAAGTACACACCAGTTGAACAGTTCATTAACTTGGACACTTAGAGCTCAAGCTCTGCAACCGAAGCTGCGTTCGCTCATCGGAGCTATGGTCCATAGAGGGGTTTCCCAGGAACCAATGAGGGTAGACATCTGGGTCCCTTTGGTAGTTCAGCTGAGTCCCTACTATATTCCCTGATAGGAGCGCATGTACACTAGCTATATGTGAAATATTGACATTAGTTGATCTAGTTTTTCTCACAAGCAAGGTCCTCATGTCCAGATTAAGCACCACCAAAGCTAGGATACTGATTGTACGGAGCTCCGATAAAGTAGCCTGCCCCCAACTGACGTGGCTCTTTCTCAAAATGCAGGTCCCGTTTGTTCCCTACGCATATTGCAACCCCCGCAACTCTAAAACCCTGAACCCTCAACCCTAAACCCTAAACCCGAGAGTAGCCCCAAGCACCACGCTGGGGGGGGGGCTGTCAAGGGACTTGGTAAGTGTATTTCTAGCTTCTCCATAGAACCTATATGAGCTACAGTCTCAACTCCTAGTATCCCCCTTATTAAGCCCTATAGTAATCCCTATTTAGTCCCCTATATAACCCCCCTTTAAAGGAGTTTAGACTATGGCTCATATGAGCTATGGTCCTTAAAGGAGCGTATATAGGGGATTATTACGTTGGGGAGTATTACAGGGATTATTAAGGGGGGTACTAGGAGTTCAGATCAAAGCTCATCTCACCTACTTACTAAGACCCGCGGATCCTAAACCTCAAGGCCTAATTCGTAGGTCCTCAGTCATAACCTACCTACCAAGTTCCTGACCCTGAACCCTGATTCCTATCTAAATCCTAAATCACAACCTACTCCTGGCCCTAAACCCCTAAGCCCTTTCCCCAAACCCTAAACCCTAAACCCTAAAACCCACCTACCAAGACCCCTGACTCTCTGTACAGGGCTTGCCTGTGGACGAGCAGTGCCTTAGCTTCGGCGGGCAGATCTTGGAGTCCACTGCCAGGTTGGAGTGAGGGTTTAGGGAGTGAGGGGTGTAGGATTTGGGTTTAGGGTTTAGGGTTTAGGATTTGGGTTTAGGGTTGAGGGTTGAGGGTTTAAGGGTTTCAGGTTTAGGGGTTTCAGTTGGGTTGCAGGGGTTAGGGTTTAGGGGTTTCAGGGTTTATGGCTTTGGAGTTTAGGCATTGGAGTTCGGGACTGAGGATTTAAGGTCGTTGGGTTTTTGGGCTAATGAAGGGCTTACGGCTTAGGGCTTAAGATTAAGGGATGTAGGTTCTATGCAGGGTTTAGGGTGTTGGGTTCACAACAGGGCTTAGGGTGCAGGATTTATCGCTTGGGACCTTGGGTTAGGGCTTGGGGCTTGGGATTTAAGATTTTGAGTTGGAGGTTTGGCATGGAATTTCTCAGAGCATCGCACAAAGGAGGCCTTACTTGTAGGCTGCCAAAGGCCTCCCTAAAGTAATCCCACTTACGTGGGGTTCTCTTATAAGGCTCCCTTAACCTCAGCTTGAGCATTTGAGGTCTGGGGTTGGGAGTTTAGGGTTCGGGTGCCAAGTTTAGGTTTAGCAAGTCGCGTGCGGCAATCTCGAAAGATACAGTTGCTCTTTATCATACGGCACCTGGTACCTTCGGCTTCGGGGTACAAAATGGTATCCGAATTGTGCAGTATAGATGCTCTAAAGCGTCCCTACAGACCGGATACCCCTAATCCTTTAGCGAAAACCCAAATGAAAACCCCCCAAATCCCTGCCCCACCATTCCCTTAAGCCTAGATATCCCTACCTACCCCTATATACAACTTGTGAAACCTCTTCAGCCATCAAATTTGAAAACCCTATCTGGCCTAGACCCTGAAAACCGTAAAACTCAAACCTTGGACCAAACACCCTGAAATAGTGGTATCATAGCAAAAAACAAGGAACCGAATATGATCACCAGTTATCCCTTACAGCCACTATTACTGGTTGGGGGTTCCACCTCACCTCAACCCTGTACACCTTCAACCCTAGACCCTAGACCCTAAACCTTCAGACCTATAAGCCCAAAACCGTAAACCCTAAGCCTTCATCCCCAAACCCTAAACTCTAAAAATCTGAACGATAAACCTGAAACCGTACACCCTGAAACCCTAAACCTTAAACCCTAAACACCTAAATCTTCAACTTCAGACCCTAAATCATAAACCCTAAACCCCTAAATCTTCAACCTTGCACCCTAAACCCCATAACCCTGAACCTGAAACCCCAGATCCTACCTGAAGGCTCCAGGACTTCGGCATTGAGGATGAGTCTGACGCCTAATAAGCAACTCCTGGTGTTGTTTTTGGTGTACATCTGGGCTACTGTCTACATGAACTTCTACAGTGGAGAATCAAATGGAAAACAGCAGATGGGACATGAAATGGAAACTGGAAATATATAGTGGTTTGCAGGGATTGTAGTGAGCTACTGCCAATATCCGGCTTATCACTGGATCATTGAGGGTGGACATGTGATTCCTTGAGAAGGAACCCATGTCTATCAATTATATGGGAAACATTGATTGTAGCTCACCTTCCCCAAACAGGGGGACACCGAAATGTTACAATTTTACACTATATAGGAACCACTAGAAAGATACCCCATAATCCTTGCGAAGCCTGCATATAATGTGTGTGTGTGTAGATGGCTCAGCAGGGAGGTTTGCCAGTGTATGTGTGTGTGAGAGAGAGAGAGAGAGATATATATATATAGAAAGGCCATAGCTATATATATATGTATATGCACACGAATACGTATATATATATATACATATGTAAAATTTGGCGGACATCTGGAGGCCACCAGGACAGAGGGTTCCTACCTTTTTTGCGAGGATCCGCCAAGTTATTGGACAATTGAGTAGTATTCTATTTGGTGATACAATGGTACCCAATATAGAGTAAGATTATATCCTCCTTTTGGGGTCTAGTATATAATCTTACTGGAATTAACCACCAAACAGACACTACTCAATTTGTTATGTCCTTAGAGTACGTTGTGTTGCCCAGAGATGATGCATCTGAATTCTAGGAGTCCTAAACCTTAAGTCCGAATGTAGACCCCTGATTACTAAACCCCTTCCGTTTAAGGGCCTTAATAATTGGGATTCCTCTCATAATCCCTATCAAGGGGAGGGGGTTTATTATTCACGTGTCTGGGTTAGTACTGAGCACCCAAACCCGAAACCCAAAAGTAGGGGTTCGTACTTGCGGTCATGATAAGCAGCATGTCTACTAGCCAATGTTTTGTTTTATCAAAGCGAGAGCAGCCTAGGAAACCATTTTTGGAAGATGGATCTAGAAAAGGGTGCCCCTGAGAGGTAGAGTCTTGCTTCAATCCCTAGGCACCATACCCTTTCGCCTGCGAGACCTTCGTGCATATACCTAGTGCAGCATCCACTATAAAAGCCATGAAACATCAATCATCAAAGAAACTACTGGTGTACTCATTCTCCGACTATATGGGGCCAGTGGAAAATGTCTTGTCTAGCTGTCCATGCTTTACAGTCTTGTACTTCTTCTCATACCGCTGCTGCGAAGCGTTCCTACTTGGTCGTAGAAGTACTTCACCCTGGCTTTCTTGGGCGTTTCTCAACATTATGGCTAGCAATCTTGGATAACATACACGCAGCACTCCGTCTAAAGCTTCATGTTCTCTTCCAAGCCTTTATACATATCCCTCTGGAACCCTGCCTCCAAACCTCCAAGCCTACAACCTCAAAAACTGCCTTTTGGAGCAGCCTGACTCTTAGGGGCCCTATTATAAATCAGGGACCGGCTTAGGGTTTATGCTTTAGGGTAATTTTGACAGCTTACCAAACCCAGCCACTGAACCAGTGATCTGGTATCACCCTGATTTCAAGCTCGAGGACCAAAACCCCAAACTGGGTTGCTGTTAAGGAGCTTTATTCAGGAAGTTACTATATATAGGGGAAACCATATTACTTACTCTCTGTATGTATGTATGTATGTATGTATGTATGTATATATACATATATGTATACATATCCAATATGATAACAATGATAACTTAACTTAAGCTTCTTAGCAGCAACCCAGTAAGACACCAGCAAGGTCCACGCTCTTTCTGTCTTTGGAGTTGCAAGGCCGGTTTTTGTGTTCATGGCTTCCGAGGGATGAGAAGACGAGGATGTCTGATGTATCAGATTACGTGCGTTGAGGGTTTAGGGTTTAGGGTTTAGGGAGGGGTCTATACCCTAGCCTTGGTCCTTAACCTGAACCCCTAAAGTAGGTACAGTAATGGAAAACCTTTACAGATGGACAAGATACATATGTGTTCTCTATGTTTTGGGGGTCCAGGTATCGGGATCGTGTGTAAGGTTTAGAGTGTTGGGCCCATGGTTGAAAAATAATATTAAGGCTTGCGCTCCGCGAGGCAAGGCTTAGGGTTTGGTGTTGGAATTTCAGTCCGTTTTTGTTTTTTGATTTCGGGTTTTGAGGGTGCATGCCTTAGCGCCCAGCACTTGGAAGATTCAAGCGGAGCTTTCAGATGTGCTGTCCTATTGTTTGGCGAGCTACCTGTAGGAAAGGATTGTTGCTTGCGCATGGCGGTCGCCACCCTGCCATCGTAGCTAGCTACCAAACAATTCCTGCAGCGTTTGAACTTGAAAGACTGGTGAGCTCCAGATGTTCGCTTCAAGCCTATGGCAAATTACTGTCGATGCAAGAGATCCTCCAGCAAGCTAAGTTGCCCTAAACCCTCATCCCTAAACCCTTTAGGTAGGTTGTGCATGAGTGTCTTGGTAGCGGATACATGACGTATGGTGTGACTTTCTCAGACAATTTCGGTCTCCTTTCTATGGCAAGGTTTGGTGAAGCATACCGGTGATTTCGGGTTTAGGGCTCAGGGTCTAGCGGTTTAGGGTTTACGGGTTGTAGGGTGTAGGGAGTCGTCCACTTGCGTTGAGCGGGGCGGTATCACATCAAGGTCACCATAAGTTTGGGGCACAATTGAAAAGATCTAATTTCCAAAGACCCTGTTCCCTACAACCCTAAACCTAAACCCTATAAGCCTAAATCCTAAACCTAAACCCTAAGCCCCATGATGCTATGCCTGCTTGCACCCTTTGTGTAAACTCTGGGTACCACCACGGCCCCTGAGCCGGAAGCTTCAGGTTTAGGGTTCAGGGTTTAGGGTTTAGGGTTTAGGGTTTAAGGTTTAGGGTTTAGGGTTTAGGGTTTTAGGGTTTAGGGTTTAGGGTTTAGGGTCAAAGACTCTCAATTAAGGATGATCCTAGCACCATACTTTATTCCAGAAGTTTGTTCTGTTTGGTACGCCCTAAGGGGCCAAGTATCCAAGAACTCAGCACTTGAGACGTGGCTTGAGTAGTGATTATAATACAAGTTTTGGGGAAGTAGATGAATTTGAGCTATACTCTAACCTCCTAGCATGCCCTTTATTAACCCCCCCATCATTACTCCCCTGTATAATCCCCTGTATAACCGCCCTTGAAGGAGTTAAGACTATAGCACATAGGGAGTACGTGGACTCATAGGATATTGCGTGCCTGACGAGTTTTGGAACCCCAAAGCCTGGATCGACTCTACCTCGACCGCGAGTGCAGGCGGCGGCAAGAAGCGCAAGAAGAAGACGTGGGATCCCTGATCTTGCCGGGGTTGTAGCAACAAGGGTTTCGTGTAGAGTTTGAAGGGTTTAGCCAGGGGACCTCAGATAGGACAGACCCTCAGACAAACTTTGAGGGTTCCCTTGTAGTTCCATTGAAACGAGTGCCTATTACAGGGTACCTCCTACTTGGGAACTCTAAACCCTAAACCCTTTGTCTTGAAAACTAAAGAAAATATCTCGGAAACTTGCATTGGTATGGCTTTACATTTGCTTTGGAAAGCGGGGGCTCTCTCTGACACTCAAGTTGATGATCGCTTTGGTTCCACGGTACTAGGAGTTTTCATGGCACGTCGGGTAGTTGATCATAGTTAATCCTATTGTTAAGTATGGTGCCTACCTATACAGAATATGGTTCTTCTCAAAATTATGGGCCCCTTCTGTTTATGGACTGTACTACGGCACCTCGTATTAAGGGGTACCAAAATGAGACCTTAATCTTACCCTAAACCCTAAACCGATATGAGCGTAGTCTATACTCCTTTGCACAGGGTTATACAGGGGATTAGATAGCGGAGTATTATGGGTTTATGAAGGGGAATACTTGGAGTTTAGACCCTAAACCCTGAACCCTTGGAGTTGTTGACTATAGCTCATATGTCCCGCGATATTTGATCTTGAGGTACACCAAGCCCAAGAAGATCAAGCACAAGCGCAAGAAGGTCGGTGGCTAAATGTTGGTACCAGCCAAGGTCTCCTGCAGGAGGGTTTAGAGTTTAGGATTTGGGGTTAAGGATTTAGGGTTTAGGGTTTGGGGTTGAGGATTTAGGGTTTAGGATGGAAGGTTTAGGATTTAGGGTTCAGGGCTTATAAGATTAATTCGCAAGAGGTCATGTAGGAATCTTGTAGTGCTTGGGGAGTGCAAGAAACAGTTTATTTGTGACCGGATTGCCCCCCCCCCCCCCTCCCGTCCCCATGAGGGTTTGGGATTTAGGGTTTTCAGTTCCGTGTTTGGAGGTTAAAAGGTTCAGGGCATCTGCTTGTATATCTCCATCCCCATTGCAGGATTACGTAAGATTAGGCTTATCCGGTTCAGCTTGTGTAAATGTCAAACACTATATGGGGGTTTCCCAAAAGTAGGCGTACCATTTTGCGGGTCCTTATAGAAGTGATTATCCTATTTTCGAGTCTATATAGACGTTATCCAATCATACTGACGTCAGGTATGCATGGTGCCACTTGGGCATAGACCCTCAACCCTAAACCTTAAACTGCTGTGAACCTTGGAGCATGGCTGCTAAGACTGTACTATGAAATCTTATCCTCGTCCCAAAAGACATGGGTTTGGGGTTTAGGGTTGTTTCCACAAAATAGCGGGACTGAAATCTAGACCTCCAAATACTCTCGTCTTTATTGTAGGGGTCCTCCCAACAATGGCCCCTAAGTTTGGGAAACCTCCTCACAAACTCAATAACCCCTACCCATGATTAATAAACCCCTTCCGCTTAATAGGGAGTATGACAGGGATCCTAGTACGTAGGCCCTTAAACGGAGGGGGTTTATTAATCAGAGGTCTACATCAGGGTAGTAAACCTGGGTTTGGGACCTCTGAGCTCTTGTACTATGCTCTTCTGGAAGGTTGATGTCCTCATGAGAGAATGGGTGTTGGTTACTTGAACATACCTTGAAAGGTGTCCCACATTTTGTCACCTTTTCGGAGGTGGCGTTTTATGACATTTTGGTTTCAGCTTCTTGAAGGTTCTCTATGACTATGACTTTCTGATTCTTTCTGTGGGCATCTTTGAGAGGAAGTAGGGGTTGTCTAATGTCTAAGTAGATCATACGCAAGTAAGTTGCCCATCCCCCTTAACCCTAAACCCTTGAACAAAACCATACTTCGATGTCAAAAAGCTTGGCACTTACTTCCTGCCGCTGTGCCTTAATCACAAGTACGCCTTACATATTAGACCGCCTGGAACCATAAACCCTTCCGCCTGAAATGCCAAGCCCTTCACCATATGACCTCAAGCTTAAACCTGAAGCCTTATCCCTGGGTTCAGGGCTTATGGTACATGGGAAGGTCGGCTGAAGCACTTTGAACCTTCAACGCACGGGAGCTCTAATGGAGTACTCAGCCCCTCCCCCACTTTGACCACCCTCCACTTGGCCAATAGGCAGCATTCTCATTGTATTGTAGAAGGAGAAAACCTCGTCAAGTTATAACGCAGCTAAACACAACCCTATTCAGTTGAGTAGTACTCACCTCCCACTGATAACAACTAACCCTAAACGTGTTTTTTCAGAATTAGGAGTACCACTTTGGGAGGTCCCTAGAATAAGGATGATCGCATTTTAGGGTCTATATTGGTTTCCCCCCTCTGTACGGAAGCTACCAAATCCTGTTTTCGAAAATAATTTTAGTGGCTCAAGCCGCCTGAAGGGGAATCTTTCTGGTGCCGGAGCCAGCCAGCCATGGGTGTAGATCTGACTGCGCTGCGAGCTTCCTTGAAGAACAAGCCGTTCCATTCCAAGGATGGTTCAGGGCTTAGTAGGTTTCATGAGGGTTTGAGGGAAAAGCCGTTCCGTTCCGAGGAGGGTGGGGTGTGGGGTTTGGGATTTAGTAGGGTTGGAGACTAGGGTCTAGGGCTTACCTGAACCCGAAAAGTAGGTAACATAATAGCCCAAAACCTTTGAATATGGCCCAAAAGGTCATTATTTCACATACTTTTGGGGTGCAGGTAAATCCTTAAACCCTAAATCCTCAACCCTAAGCCCCTTACCCCTAAACCTTCGTAGGATTCAAATTCAGGGGTCAGATTTTCAGGCTCAGGGCTGAGGATCTAGGATTTGCAGGCTCGCGGTTTGGGGTTTGGACGCCAGCTTTTGGTTTAGGACTTTAGGGTTTAAGGTTTAGGACTTTTGGTCTTAGGGTTTAGGACTTTAGGGTTTAGGGTTTAGGGTTTGTCGGAGCAAATGTTGAACCCTCAATCCGGATTTGGCGTAATGTAGAGCCCTGTCTAGATTTTCTCACCCTGATGATCCTTCCAAAGCTGGAACATATCATATCCCAATCGCAAGGGCCTATGCTAATGAAATAGGCCCTGCAAAATTACAATCCACCGAAATCCCAGCTTCCATGTCATCTCCCACTTGATTCTCCATGCCCTTTTCGACCTTCTCTAAAACGGTTTTTGTCACCCCAGAGAAGCCCGTACCACCCCGGGAGCCACGAAGAAACCCACAACCGAGTGTTCTGCAAAATCAAAACCGTTTAGGGTTATAGGGTTTATGGGCTTGGGGTTTGCAATAGTGAGGTTCCGGGTGTAACTCTTATGCGGGACTCCTTGCCACCGTTCTTGGAACCCTAAACCCTAATCCTTAACTAAACCTTAAAACCTACACCCTAAACCCTAACCAGCCCCCAAAAACACCCGAAACCCCAAGACACCTCAGCCCGTTCTTCCGCAGGAGCAAGCGCTGCTAAATTTGATCCAGCAGGCTTCAAGCCTCAAACCTTGTAACCCAAAGGGTGAGGATTTAGGGTCTAGGGTTGGGTTTATTTTTTTTGTTGCGTTATATGACTTCGGGCTTAGGGTTTAGGTTTGGTTTCAGGTTTAGGGTGCATGTAGGTATTTTATGGGATACACTTAGGGCCCAAATGGCGAACAATATAACTTTGGGGGCCCAAGTATGTAATATTCACCCTTTGGGTTTAGGGTTTAGGGTTAAGGGTTACTTCAGGGACGGGTCCCAGTGCTCAAAAATTCAGTACATGGGATTTGGGTAGTAGCAATTTAGTACAGTTCCGGGGGAAGCATATAAAGCTTAAGCATTTGGATCTCGAGGGAACCCCAAAATGTCTGAATTTCAGGTTCTCTGAATCCTACCCAAAAAATACAGTTCAAAAAATATCAATACTTGCATCAAATTCCTGAGTGAACTTATATAACTACCCCAACCCCTAAACCCAAAGCCCTAACCTGAAGCACTCTTGTAATTATCTAGTCCCCTCCGTCCGGGTTTGTGCTTCGCCCAGCCCCCATGACTCTCACAGGGTCCTTACTTTCGAGGTGGGGGTTCCCTATCAACCGCAATATATGTTCCAAGCCCTAAAGCCTAAACCCGTGGCTTCAAAAAACCGAACCCCCCAAAACCCTAAACCCTCAAATCCTAAACCCTAAACCCTATATAACCCCCTATAATCCCTTATACAACCCCCTTTAAGGAGCTAAGACTAATGCTAAACCCTCAAACCCTAAACCCCAAACCAATATTTGTTCCCAGCCCCAGGCTGAAGCCATCCAACTTCAGCAGCAGAACGTGCTGAAGACAGCCAAAGACCTAGCCGAGGTGTTCAAGATTCCGGGCTGCTTTAGTCAAGGGTTTAGGGTTTATAGGGTTTGGGGGTTTAGGGCTTCAGGTTTGGGGTTCAGGGGTTTACTTTTGGCGGGCTGGGGATTCATAGACCCTAAATCTTATAAACCTTAAACAAGTTTACCAGATGTATAGGGCATAGTTTTGGTGGATTGGGATGCAAGGCCTTGAGCCGCCGACATGTTGAGGGTTTAGGGTTTCGGGCACACCCTAAACCCTACATCGCGTGGGCGCCAACGAGGCTCAAAGTCGGCTTCTGCCAAGTCGAGGTCACTGCGTTCGATACAGTCGCCTACGTTATTGAACAGATTCTTGGTCGGACATTTTGTGCAGCTTGAACCCCCTACACACTATACCCCAAATCCTGGACCCTGAGCCCTAAACCCTATACCCTGAACCTTAAACTTTAGGGACTTTCTTGTTCATATCCAGGAAGCTGAAAGTTGAATCTTTTGCCGCGGTGCGGGTGGCACGTCTGTAGGGCTTAGCTGTGCGTTTTGTTTCTGGAGCGGTGCGGGCGGCAGGCATTGTATTTCATTTGCTAACTTGGGGATTTTTTCTTACGCTTCAGGGCTTTGGTTCTATTGGAGGGGGTTTTAGGCTTCAGAATGTGAAGCCTGAGCAAAGCTGTGACATCAAGCATGGGAGCTCAAGGGGGTAGAATAATTCAGGGTGATGTAAGGCGTGAACTACGACCCAACAGGTTTCTTTGCTCTCTTACAGCCCGACTTGTACTCCTCAATCCTTCTCGTGAAAGATTTGAGTTTCAAGAGGAAGTGCTTCAAATTGTGCAAACCTTTAAGAGGGGCCCAACCGCCCACCTGTGGAACTTAGATATCAAAAGATTAAGAACTACAAGTAACCCCTGAGTCCTATCCCCAATTCGAAAAGCAGGAGGTTCCCAAAAGTGGGGTACCTTTTGGGGATCGGATGGTCGTTTCGGGGATGATTTTAGTGTTCCACTCCTTATGGAAACCACTCAAAACCCTAAACCCTCAAACCCTAAACCCTCAAATCCTAAACCCTCGAATCCTAAACCTTACCACATCCCACGAAGGATTGTGCTACAGCTCGGCGGCACTGCCTCTCGGCTGGTTTTTGCCAGGCTCTGAACCCTGGGCGATTAAAAGCGACCTCACCCGACCTCACCCTAAATGGTGGTTTTATATAGGGAAAAGAACCAAAATGGCCTTAACTTGAATTGAAATCATTCTAAGTTACCCTGTCTTAACCCTAAACCCGATACCCTAAATTTGGCCTGAATCACTACCAACATCATTCCCCTACAGCACTAATCCTAGAGGGTCGAGGGTTTTGGGTTCAGAGTTTTTGGTCTCCAAGTTCCCCA